CGATTTCAGCGCCCTAGGCTCGAGTCCATGGCCGATTTGTTTTATTGGACCCATTTTCTAGCCCGATCTACTCTCGTTTGCTTCAATCCGATCCGGTTTATGGTAAAAGATCTTACAATGGACTCCGATGGCTTAGACATGGTTATTAAGATGATATAAGAATGATTAATTTGAGGATTTAAGCGATTTGAAATTTTGGGATAATTACGAGCTTGAAACGAATTTCTCGGACTTGTTACATAAGTGCGATAAAATAATAAATTAAATTTTATAAAAATTTGTTGGGTTGTCTTGAGGCTTAGGTGCAAATACGAGAATATTTAGAGTTCGTTTAATGGACGAACGCGATTTATAAAGAATTTGACCGGTTGAAGCGATTGAGAGTTTAATGAGTTAGGAGTTGAATTTTGACTCGATATTTTGACCATGAACCATGTAGGTGTTGAAAATGGTGTGTTTTGAATTTTGTAATGTTTGGACACCATTTGATATAAACTAAAAATCGAGACATTAGCCTCATTTGGCGATATTTTATTATATTAGCTGGACATGATTTTAGTTGCAGTACTTGATTATAAAATTGATATAAATCACATAAAATATATATTATCATTATCGGCCTTAAACGAGTTAGGATTTTTGAGAATCAGAACCCTAGTACCGTCTGGATAATTACTAGTTGTCGTATCGTAATTCGTAATGTGCATCGTCGTCTCGTGCCCGTGATCGCCTCTCGTCCGACCGTTGGAGACGAACCGCCGAGTGCGTGCCCGTGCACCGAGTCCGAGTCAAACCCCGAGCGCGTGCCCGTGCACCGAGTCTATCCGATCTACCGTTTACGCACCGTTCCGTTAGCCGTGGTCCAAGCACGCCCCTGCGTTAGTGACCGTGGCACCGTTCCAAATCGTGCATCGGTCAAGCCGTGTCAATCGAGTTCGTGCCGGCCCCGAGTTGCCACGCCGAACCCAGACTACGGTCAAACCGAGCTGCACATAGTCAAGCGAATGACCGACCAGCTCCGAGTAAGCTGTCGGTCCAGTTCAGTTGAACCGGTCCGATCAGTCCGGACGGTTCGAGATATATTTCAAATAGAACTTCAGATAAATTTTAGATTCAGTCAGATTAAGATTTCAGATATATTTAAGATTTCAAATATAGTTAAGATCCCAAATAAAGTCAAGATTCCAGATAGATTAAAGATCCAAATATATTTTAGATTTTAGTCAGGTTAGATTAATTCAGATTATAGTTCCAGACTTAGAAATATTTCAGAGAATTCTAGAATGCCTCAAAGACAATAAATTTTCAAAATCAGCTCGCAAATCCCTAAAATGATTTTAAAGCCAAGTGAGCGAACTTAGACAGATCAGATAATATAATTCGAGTTTTCAGTTTAAGATAAGTACTTAGAACATATTTTGTGCTTATATATTTTGTAGCTTGTGGAGAGTCGAGCCTCCGACTGCTGCAAACCATTCAGATCTTGCATTTCAGCATATCAGGTGGGGACCCTGTACTGGGTATTACATCTTCTATAATCGCAATACCATTGTTGAGGTATGTAAGTAAGATTCTGCCCGATTAAGGGCAACTACCTAGCGAGTAGATCCTTTCTAGCTAGGTGAATCGAACGTTAGTTAAGGTGAGATAAATATTATAGTACAGCTTTGAGTTAAGTGAATTCAGAACTCTAGAGCAGCCTTGAGTTAAGTCTAATTTCAGATGATCTTAGAATAATTTTTCCATAAGGGACATTGATCTAGGGTTATGTTTCGTCATAACCAAGTGTTTTTAATTCCCCGTTATTATCAAGGACTCTAGTGCAGTTGTGGGTTAAGCTCCAACCTTAGAAGTGCATAAGAGTTGGTTTTTCTTGGTACGGGCAACAACCTACAGATTAGGTCCTACGGATGCTTATCTTGAGCGTGAAGACCAAGTGTTCTTCTAGCCAGATAAGCGGTCAGTTATAATCAATCAGTTAAGCAGAATTATAGATAGCATGTTGAGCAGCCGTTATAGACGATATACTTACTTGTACACATTTGTGATGTGTTTTATCATATTAGATGTATGCTTAGGTTGTGATGTGTTCTTTCATATTAGATGTATGCTTAGGTTGTGATGTGTTTTATTATAGTAGATGTATGCTTAGGTTGGGATGCGCTTATCATATCAGATGTATGTTTAGTTCGCGATGTTGCGACTATAGTTAGTCAGTTGAGCAGTCGCTATAGTTAGTCCGTTGAGCAGTCGCTATAGTTAGTCTGTTGAGCAGTCGCTATAGTTAGTCAGCTGAGTAGTCGTTATAGTTAGTCAATTGAGCAGCAATATAGTCAGCCAGTCTAGCCCTATTATAGTAATCAAATGAGCATCAATTATAGTTATCCAGTCGAGTAGAAGTTATAGACAACCCTGAGCAGC